ATCAGATAAAAATTGCTGTCAGGTCAACCCCAACTCATAACCACCCTTAGGGGAGACTAAAACCTCCCTCTAGGGCTTCCCAGGCCGAAATCTTTATGGAAGCCCCCTGCCACCTCGTTCTCTCCTGGAACAGCTGGTGGGTTTAAACCAGGAACCTTTTAATCAGCAGTCACACATTGGTCACTGCAGCCCCTGGGCTCCGTATCTATTTCTGTAGACAGAGTCTGTTCATCCTTGATGCACTGCGGTGATAGTCGTTTTTGCCCCACCTCCTTCTCCTGTTCTTTGTACTTCCCTTGGGACGCGCCCACTGTCATTGAGTTGACTTCCACGCATAGCCCCTCTCCAGGACACGGTAGAACTGCCTCAGTCGGCTCTGAGACTGTAACCCTCTGTTTCTGTTATTGTATTTGCCAGTTTGGCACATTGTTTTTCTTCCCATTGTTACATAGGAGGCAACCAGCATGCCACCCTCATAGCTTTGGGCTAGTGGCCCCATTTCTCTATTGCTCCAGCAGTGTGCTTTCTGCTCTGCCTGCCTCATCCCTATGCTTATTTTCCCCTTTCACATGCTGCCGGTAGCAAACTTTCAACACCCCGCCCAGTTCTTTGGCTGTGGCTTCTCTCTTTGGCTGTGGCTTCTCTGGATGAGCTGAAATCCATTTTTTAATAGTTTTTCTAAGAAGGAGTCTTAAGAAGGAACCCACTTCCCTGGGGTCTTCATCGTTCAAAACTATTTTTTGGTGGCTTTTCTGCTCGAAAGAAAGGTCAGCGAGGTTCATAATGCCAGTATTGAGTATCCTGGGGACATTCGAGGACTTTCGACTCCAGGCAGTTCATCCATGATCTTCCAGTGGCGAGAAATTACTACAGCAGCCTGATTGTATCCCCCCAAAAGTAACCGGACCTTTGTTTCTTTTATCCAGTGATGGAAATATTTATCCATCCTCTTCCTTTTTGCCACTCACCGAGTTTGCTGTGAAAAGCGACACTCCAACCCAAACTCCCTGCATTGAGTCTCCGCTGCCTCATCGCGAGCGAGTGTCCCACTGTGGGTTTCCAAGACCATGACTGCTCATGAGGGTAGAAACAGCTCGGTCTTTCTCCCTCGGTGGTGCCGGCTCTGCGGATCACAACCCAGCACAGAACCACTGCACACACCAGGGCTCCTGGAAGAAGACTCAGGGGAGTACGGAAAGCTCAACCACTGAGAAATAGTTGGTGAGGTGGCCAGTGTCAACGTCCCTGTCCCATCCCCTCTCCGGCCCCACCCCGCACCCATGGAGGAGGTTTTCACTTGTTTATTTGGTAATTTTGTTTACCTTTCCCCGTTTTAAAAAATCTACTACTGGTTTTCATTATTATTAGATAGGCAGCAAATGAGTTGACTTCCTTTAATCTAGCTACTTTCACGAGTGTGGTAGTTACACAATTTCATGTCAACTTGATAAATAAGAATGAAGGGGTGGAGTCTAGCCTGTCAATCAGGTCACAGCTTGGTGATTCCTCCTTGTGGGCATGAGGATTCTGGGAACTTCCTCTCTCTTGATTCTGCCATCAGAAGAGATGGGTCTCTCTCTCCCTCCCTCCTACACATTCCTGTTGAAAAGCTACATAGAGCCAAGCTGATGGCAGCTAGAGCCCTGGAGCTGTATCCACTGCTATTGGATCCACAGGACTTTCCATCCACCGGCCTGTGGTCTTCCTGTATTCAGCATCGTTGCATGTACTGTGTGAGTCTGAAGAGGAATTCATGGGCTCATATCGGACGTATGGGCTAATTAGCAAGTTTATGGACTTGATCTGGATTGGGCTGGGATGTTTTATTTAGGCGTAATTACTTCTTGATTTAAAGTTCTCTCTTATACATATATGAATGTCCCTGTTTGTTTCTCTAGTTGACCCGGTCTAACATAAGGAGCAAGAGCTTCCTGTGGTGAGGAGGGGCCAGCAGAGAATTCCCACCCACAACTTGTTTTGCTGCTTCCACAAAGACAGCCTGCTTCCTGCTAATGTGGCGCCCCTGTGAAGTCTCTCACCCCTTGCTTTTCTCGCCAAAATAAAGCCAGGGTGATACTGGCCCTGCGTGCTCCAAACCCGCTCCCAGAGCTCCTAAACCCACCCCAACCCAGCCTACACCCAGTCAATTCCAACTTAGAGCGACCTTACTGGGAAGCCCTCCAAGGGCTTCCAAGGATGCCGTCTTTAAGAAAGTGGGTTGCCATTCCTTCCTTCCATGAAGGAGCTGGTGGCCTAAGCCCTTCGACCTTTAGGTTAACAGCCAATCGCTTAACCGCTGTGCTACCAGGGCTGGGAGGATATTGCTGTGCACCGCCCAGCTAACCGTGACTAACAGTGACCCCATGATGCCGTGAGAGACGAGAACTGTCTCGCCGGGTTGTTTAGGCGTCAGGTGACTCCCAGTGTGGGAGAGTAGAACACTTCTTTCTCTGAAACCGTTTAAAGCAGGAATGGCATGAAGTGTCATGGGGAAAATAAACAGTATCTCCAGATTGAAAAGCAGACCAACCAAATCATACCAAATAGCACGTAAAGCCCCAAACAGCCCCACCATGCAGTGTTCACAGCGCAGAGCGCAGAGGCCAAGCAGTGAGATGCTTCGAGTGAGGCCGCTCGGGTGGGCGCCCTCCCTCTTCAAGACGCTGCTTTCTAGCTCCACGTTTCCTTTCCCACCCAGAGCCCCGCACCCCCACCCCCAGGCCAATTCAACCCAAGCAGGTATGGCTCATATGCAGGCATCCCCCACTTCTCAAAAGTTCACTGTATACCACTTTGCAAAGACTTTGTATTACCTTTCTTCTCGAACAGAAAATCAGCTGGAGATTTTTGATTTTACAAAAACAACCACAAAATGCACGGATTTGGAGGCAAGGTTAGGGGAGTGGGATTTGTTTTTTGTTTGGGGGTGGAGTGGGAGGCCGAGCAAGGGTTGTTCTCCAGGCTATTGAGAAGTAGACTTTGCTGTTAGGGGACATGGAGCGGGCTCTAACTCACAGCGACCCTAGTACAATCACTGCGCAGTCGCGTGCCATCCTTACAGTCCTCCGTCTATTTCAGCCCGTTGGTACAGCCACGGCGCAAACCCGTCTTGTTGGGGGCCCTTCCTCTCTTTGGGCCGCCCCTCCAAGCACCAAGTCCTTCTGCAGGGACTGGTCTGTCCTGAGAACGCGTCTAAAGTACGTGCGACAAAGTCTTGCCATTCTAGCTTCTAAGGGGCATTCTGGCTGTACTACTTCTTCCAAAACGGATCTGTTTGCTCTTCTGGCGGTCCACGGTACTTTGAATGCTTGACTCCTGCGCCACAATCCAGAGGCCTGGATGGGGGATCCCTCCGTGTACGTCAGCAGGTGAAGTTCTCAAGACAGCCATCAGAGGGCAGCAGCCACCAAATTTCTGAGGCTCGTTCACTCCGCCAGAATTGGGCTGCTGGGAGGCTCTTACTGTGAACTGCCCAGTTGGGTGACTCACAGTGACCCTTTGTGGTCCAGTAGAACTGCACCTGGGAGGAAGTTACAGAAACCTCATATCGACAGGAGGGCCCTGGGCGTGGTTTGGCGTTTGGGAATCGTCACAGGAACAGATAGATGGTCGTTTCTGCTGCACCGCCTCTGTGCCGGTTTGAACCACCAACCTTCAAGTTAGCGGCACAAGTTCCTAACTGTTGCTACCAGGACTCCTTGGGCGGTGATTAGAGGCACCCCTTCTTTTCACAGCCAAGGGACTGGAGCCTGCGTGAGACTGGCTGAGCTGGAGCCAAGTATCAGATCAGTGGGAGAACTAGAGTTCCCTGAACTTCCCTAAAGGAATTTCAAAAGCACATCCTCTAACCAAAAATGAAAACATTTTGAAGGTATAGAAAAGCCAAGAAGAGTGGCTGTTGGGATACATTTGACTGGTGTAAATGATCAGGCTGCTAAACACATGCTCATCCGTTCAAAACCACGAATCGCTCTCAGTAGAGACTCCTCTTGTAAAGAGTTATAGTCTCGGAGACCCAATGGAGGCAGTTCTGCTCAGTCCTAGGCGGTCACTATGTGCTGGAATGGACTCCTGGCAGTTAGTGTGATTCTGTTTGTGGTGCTGGAGAGGAATATTGAAAGTACCGTCGACAACCCAAAGAACAAGCAAATCTGTCTTGGGAGGACAGCCAGACTGCTCTTTGGAAGCAAGGATGGCAAGACTTTGTCTCACATACTTTGGGCATGTTGTTGGGAGAGACCATTCCCAAGAAGGACGTTGTGCTTGGGAAAGTGGAGGAGCATGGGGAAACAGGAAGGCTCTCAATGAGAGGAATTGACAGCGGCTGCAACAATAGGCTCACGTTTAAGGACAGCTGTGAGAATAGCTCAGGGCCCGGCAGTATTTTGTTCTGTTGTGCATAAAGTGGCTAGGGGTCACAACCGACCTGATTTGATGGCAACAAACAACAAGATTGCCAGTTGGAATTCAACCAGAGGCCCTAGGACCCAAACAGGTGATCTGTTTCTGAAAGATCCCAAGCCAAAACTCACAGCTACGCAGTGGATTCCGATTCAGAGAGGCCAATGTCAGGGTCTCAGAGACTGGATTGTTCCCTGAGCAGCCAGCCTTGGAATCTTCCGGAGTCATTCACTGTGTATAACCAACTCCAGGGCCTCGGGTTTTGTGTGTCTGGTTGGCTGGTTTATAGAGAGGGGATGAAGAAGGACTGCCGATGTCCTGCTGAAGATCACCCAGCCAGCCAAGGTCACAGCCATGACTGGTCCCCAGAGGGCCAGCTCCGGAGCTGATGAACCTCGTTGCTCGCTGGCTTCTAGAAGCCGGTCCCCCGAAGGTGGAGGAGAACCGTGCAGCCCCATGACTTCCGGGGATCTAGATGATTTAATCCATATTAAAAGGGAGGTTTTACGACGAGTAATTAAGGCCCTGTAAGGAATGAATCAGTAATGAGTCGTTAACTTCGCCCACCATTGTTTAGTTAACAAGCTGACGTCGGGTTATTAGAGCCGGTCCCGTCCCCAATTAGGGGACACTAGCAACAGAGAGCACAGCGCGGGCCTCTCTGGGGGCCGGGCACCGCTTTCCCTGGCTGGCTTTGCCGCCTCGGGGTCTGGCTGCCGCGGAGCTGGCGTTTGCAGGGCAGAGGCCACATCGCTGACCTTCCAGATCTCCGCAAAATTCTCCCTGTACGCCTCCGGGGGGCGCGCATTCTGTCGTGCGGCCAGGTTATTGGCGACGTGGCAGTTGGTGGGCAAGCTGGGGGCGGGGTGGGGCAGTTGGGGTGAAGGGGTGCTCCTCACATCAAAGACCCTCCCACCCCAGGTCCTTGTCATATGCCACCTGCAGCAGGGAGGAGCAGCCCCAGGCCCCAGGCTGCAGGTCTTCCGCCCGCCGTCCGCGCAGACTTTGCACACATGGGATGGACTGGGCTAAGGGTTGAGGATGCGGATTCCAGATTTACTGTGCTGGGGCGGGGCGAGCAGGGATTGCATCCCCTTGCTTGGGCGTTTTTTTGGTTGGGGTTGCCCCCGTTCAGTAGCTGAGCTCTGACCCAAGCCCGTCCCTCCCGGAGGAGGCTTGACCCAGCCACCCACACCAGCCCGCTCCCTCTCCGGGACAGTGAGGTCCCGCCGGCAGGTGCAGTGCTGGAGAACCGCGAGGGACAGAAAGCTGGGACCAGGGCTGTGGGCGGCGCCCGCAGTCCCCGCGTTAGCTCAGGTGAGAAATGGGGCTGCTAGTATCGCTTCTGGGCACCAGAGAGAGACTCGTCCTCAAAAGGGAAAAGGTGGAGCGTGGAGTGTACCCCCCTACCCCCCCGTGGCAGGTGGAGGAGTGGATGCATCGCATGGGATCTACGCTCGGGCTCGCCCCAGTGCTCTGCTCCCGGCTGCATCCTGGATTGCTCGCCCTCCGCCCTCATCTGCACAGCCAATCCCGCACGTCCTGCTTTACCCAAGGCCCCTGCCCAGGCGCTAAGCGACAGTCTCAGGCATAAGCGGGCGTCTGTTCTCCAGTGTCCCCAAGACCTCCCTCCTCCTTGAGTAGGCTGAAATCTAGTCGGCCAGGGGGAGGTCTCTGTGTATCCGGTAAGACCACGTAGTGCTCTCTTGTGAGCCAAGCCTGCAGCCCAGGTAAAGGAGCGAGCGCAGACTCCCCAGTGATGCAAGTTTGGGAGGCAGCTTTCTCTCCCGGTCTGCAAAGCCTATGCCCGCCCTAAACCAGAGGCCCGCACAATCTGCCGGGGAAGCAGGCACGGTGCTCCCTGTCTCTGTGAGCCTGCAGCCTCACGGGCTTCATTGTCATGGGGGCTTCAGACTGGTGATGAAAGAAGTCTTCGCTTCCAGCTCTCTGGCTCGCTGGAGAGGGCAGCACGGTCCCCCACCCTTAGAGGGTGTCCTTCCAGGCAGGCCTGAGGAGTTGGTGGGGGGTTAGAGACGCCCTTTGAGCTCCCATAGGCCTAAGGAGCTTCCCTTTAGAAATGTAAATAAGCTCCGTGGAAATAAGTTGCGCTTTCCCACAAACAAGCCCTGATGGTGCTGTGTATTAGGCGTTGGGTTACTAACCACAAGTTTGGCGGTTCAACCCTACCAGCCGCCCCACCGGAGAAGAATGAGGCTATCTGCTCGATGGAAGATTTACCGTCTTGAAAACTCTATTTGGAGTCGCCGTGATTCAGGATGGCTTCAAAGGCAGTGAGTTCGGCTTGGTTTATTCTGCACACGTTCCCTGAACGTGCAACGTGGACGGCAAGAACCGGCCAGTTCCCACAAGGAAAAGCGGTGAGAACTAGGACGGCCTCTGTGCCTCGGTGTCCTCCCGTGTGAAACCCTGCTAGTAATAGTTTCCTCCTGGTAAGGCTGTTAGGAAGGTTACGTGGGAAGTTGGGGATGAGAAGAGGTGGGGTGGGGAGGGGGATCCCTAACGTGCCAAGGACAGACATTGCGGTGAGTTGATGCCAGGGCTAGGGCTGAGAGTGAGGGCCCCCGAGGATCTACGCTGGAATCCGGTTAGGCAGGCGGCAGCCCAGCTTCTGGCGGAGATCGCGGGGGTCCACAGGCCACGAGTCTGGCGCGCTCTGGGACCACGGCCTGCAAGAGGAGTGTGGGAGCCCCTGGAGCCCCCACTGTGGATTCTTGGAAACTGCGCCCCCTGAATCGGCCTGAATCGTCCATCCGGCCCAGAGCAACCTCTTCGGACGCCCTGGGTTGCGGGTACAGAGGGGGCAGGGGGCTGGAGAGGCAGGCTGGCGCGCGGATCTGGGCCTGCAGAAGGAACAGCCTCTGCCCCCCAACGGGAAAGACAAGCTCCCCGAATCCTGCGAGGGCGGGCGTTAGTGGAGCCAGGGATGTGGACGACAACCTGAGGGTGGCCCTTGGCTTGCCATGCGGACGACGACCGAGGTCCTGGGAAGTCTGCGTCCTGAGCCCCCTCAACTGGGAGAGGACGGTGTCGACGCTTCCAGTTTTTCAAACCGGCGGCCGCGCTCGGTTGTAGAGCGACCGAGGGGCGGCGGAGGGAGGCGCCTCTCCTCCGCTGCCGCAGAGCGCCCGGGAGCTCTCGCACTGGAACCTTCAGCTGCCCGCCCTCTGCTTTCTTCGCCCACCCGCACCCCACTCACCCTGGCCCCCCGCAGCCCGAGCGCGCGAAACCGGAGTCAAACCCAAACCAGCACACGTTTAATTCCCTCCGGCACGGTAACAAGGAGACTACTTAAGCCACCAGCGCTAGTCCGCTCGCTGCCCGCGGGCTGCGGCTGTTTGGGGTCCCCGAGCCACCGCGCCCGGCCCCTCG